AATAATAGGTGCACGCACAATTTAGATACCGTCCGCAATATTTGTAGAGTTGTTTGTTTGAATCATAATACTATACTATCACATCATTCTTTAAGTTTTATGGTGTGAAAAATATTATCAGTGTCAGTAATATTATATTATTTTGTTTACTTTTTGTTTAGTAGTAACGTATAATTAATTTAAAATATGTAATAGAGAAAATATATAAGTTTAGTTGTACGAGGCGATTTATAAAACATTAAATTAATTGTTATCGCGCACTGGTGAAAGGGTTTTGGATCTGACATCCCACTCATTACTTGAAATTTGATTGAAATGATTACAAATCAAATTTTTAGTCTATTTCGTAAAATTTTATTTTATATTCACATGTATTCATGTGAATTAGGATTTTAAATCATTAATTTAATTTAAATTGTGTCACTTTTGTCGCTTAAGATTCAGCTAAATCAGCAAATGTGTATATGTATGTACATTTTAATTACAAAGTTCTGAGATTCAAAATATATAATGAGAGGCAAACAATAGAAGCAGTTATGTAACTTAAGATTGCTTATACAACATCAATGTAATAGTCGGTAAACTCCTTCCTTATTTGTTTATGACATGCCACTATGAAATAGGTTACGGCGAATTGAAAACTCGAGAAACATTTGATTATGAATTTTTATTCTTAAGCAAAGATTTTTATCGATTAAATTAAATGATATAATACTTACTTGCATGTGTAAATTTATGACTTTTATAGTCTAAACGTAAAAATACAAAAAAATCCTTACATTTCATATACATATGTATAAAAATCCTCACAGCTCATACATAGTAAGCAATTAATTTAATTAATAAGGAAGTTTCAACTCTTTTTCTAATTCAAAACCTTATACATTTTTTTAATATCCCTTGAGTTTTGCAGTCTGGCGAGACCTGCATTTAATTGAAAGCACCATATTGTTTCGCCCTGACGCCTGCTTGCCAACCTTAGCGTTAAAGGAAACTGCTACAACGAGAAAATTTCTCCCTTTCCGGAGGGTCGTATTTTATTTGGAAATTACATTTCGACTCGCTAGACTAGAATGCTGTGGAACCCTTATATTTTATGAATATTTATACACAGTCTTAATTACAGTGCTTGGGTATAAGAAGTAATAAGAACTGTTATTAAGGTAAGGGTTAACAGCCTGTCTGGTCAAATGTATTACACTCTATTTGTTATGCCCAAATCACAACTTCTCATATTTCCGCTTGTCATAAATCTCAGCCTAAAGTGACTCCGACAGAAACTTGTTATCGAACGCCACCATACATACATAAATAAACAAACTGTTCAGAGTACAGTCATGCCATAAATTTAAGTCCCTTCATGTACAAGTGACGTAACTTTATACCGTATTTCCTATTCTGTCTCGGGTTAAATCTCTTAGCTTAACTGATCTCGGCTAAGTCATATGCCTACGTTGTAGTAAAAATCTTTTTCATTATCATAATTATAAAATTTACTATCTAATTTGGAATATATAAAAGTGATATACATAATTATATATTTCATATTAGATGAATAACTATACATGTAAAATACAACTGATAGAAAAGCAAGCTTATTTATCTTATAATTATATACATATATTGTAGAACCAAAACGATCTCTTCCATTTCTTTTCTTTCATCATAAATAATTACTCATAAACTACAGGGGATAACTAAATAAGCAAAGAACAAACAACCAACAAATGTCCGTTGTAATTCGATAAACAATATTATGTTGGAATGCGATTCAAGCAATGGACAAAACATGCTTTAATCCAAATAGAACAGGATTTATTTTTATGATCCTTTAACAAATTCCCTTTGATTGTTTTGTTTCGTTGCCTTTGAATAGGTACTTTATCTTTCGATGTCCTTGTCCCAATGTTTTCAGGAAAATGAAACAATAACTTATTGTGAAAATTGTTTATATTATGCCATTGTTCTTTTATAAATGACCTATAATAAATATTATATATTATAAAATTCAATTCTAATTACATATTAAAGATTGTTGCTAAATAAAAATTAATACAGATTATAAAAAACCACTTAGGTAAAGTGAATAAATTTATTATACTAATACTTTTACTTTAAAAATATTTGCCGTTCTAAATATAACTATCCCACATTGATGACTTTGAGTTTTATATATGGAATCAATTTGCAACACATTTTTCGAATGTGCATTTTTAAATCCACAACTATTTCATCTTCCTCTATCACGCAATCACAAACTAACGTAGATGTAAATACCGTACACATTCTAAAAACTAAAATTGTGGTAAAGCTCAAACGTCTCGATATTAAAAATATAATAATAAAAATATTTTTAGCAAATCAAGCAACATATTTTTTAATAATTCATTTTCTGTTGATAAATATATTGTCAGCCGATTCACACTTTTTTGAATCTAAATGATTAATGATAAAATATCAACACAGTTGTATTAAAAATAGGTTTTCAATGTCCAATTTAGCAATTATTATTGATGACATATCAAAGGCACGGAGACATTGGAGAGAAAACATTTGCACGTTCCAGGAAAGGTATTTAATGCAGTATTAATTGTCGTGGCATAGTCTTCTCAAAAAAGTTTGCAAGTGAGGTGTTGAGAGTTTTTTTATGAGGTATGGTATGTTTCATGTTTGAAAGGCCATAAAGTAAAAGTTGTTGTCGGAGGTTATTATTAGACATATTTACCGCAAAGTTACGGGTACTGTGAAATTGTATTTGTGAACCTACATTATATGGAGTTTTAATTTTAACGACCGTCCTATATTTCAAACACTGTCAGTTTCATTAAATATCTTTGTTGTGGTTGAATATGTAAATTGATTTCAATATTTCAATATTAATTTGCCCTTTGTGTGACCTTCAACAGATATAATAGTAACTTCATTTTTGATTACAGGATAAAGATCAATTTCAATAACATATATGTTATATATGACCTCGGAGTTACTCACGGTATTCATTTAAATAATTGGGATTTTTTATAAGAGCTTGAAAATAAAAAAACTATATATGTACCTTTATAACGCTTTTTAACTCCTTAACACACAAAAATGTGAATATCAGTAAACACATTGAATGCTCATTAGTTCAATATAGATAAAATTGAAAGGTTACACAACATTTTTTACGTGATTTGGCCTACAATGATCGTCTTAAATAGTACCATGTTATTAATATTTTGTTTAAGACTATCTTTACCATATTCTTTACACTGAATCATCGTAAAAACGATTTGATTTATATCTCGTTCTCAGTATTTTAAATGAAAATGTTTATAGTCCAAATTTGTTAAGAAGGGTTGGATTGACGTTACTGAAATACATTTCAAGGAACTATATTAAAAATAACTCCCTTTTATTTGCGAGGAATAATATTTCAAAGCGCCTCAATCACGACAATGATAATAACAATAATATATTTATAAAAGCGAGCTTAGATATTTCAAAAAATTTCTGTAATCTTTAAAAAAACTAACTTAGAACTACTTGAAGTAATACTACTACTGATGATTTGCTGCGTCATCTTTTTTTTTAGTCATTAAACCTAAATGTTACATCTTAATCCTTATTGTTTAGATTATTATCTTTTAATGGGTTTTGCATACAAACAAAGAGCTAAGCAGCTTATGTATTTGTGTTGCGTTTTAGTTTTAAGTTGAGGTTAAACATATAAAGAGTGGTCTACTTATTTAATTTCCATTCCTATGCATTTTGGGTCAGCGTTAAAAGTATGCTATTACAAGAATATTTGTAAAATTGGAACTAAAAATTTTGAACTAAATTGAATTAATGTTTAAATATATAACATTTACATATATAACTATTAGTTTCGCATTAGAATCTCTTTTAAATAGCGCAGAATAACTTTTATATCCTTAACATTGCGGCCGAATAATTCAAATACTGGTATTTCACGGCATAGATTAAAAAAATAGTATTACCTAACTTTAGCACGGATAAGCAATTGATTTTATGGACGAATAAGCTGAATGCCCTGTTTTTAGCCACGACTAAGGGTGTATGTGTTTATGTACGATAGAATTTGGCACTGAACCAAAAATATCATCTAATCCATTAAGTCACTTTCTCATAATCGAGTAACAAACACGTACGAAACAAGCTTCCCCTAACTTTTCTAATTACAAATTTACTATTATGACAATCTTTCTTTGAAATAAAAAGTTATGGGATCGATTAAATTTTAGCGGATGTTAACAAACTGTAAATGTTTGTGACTCCAAACCATAAAAACAAAAGGTAGCACTTAATAAAGATTAAAGACAACAAAGGAAAAGTATTATTATTAAGATCGTAAAGAGTTTCAGGTAACATCGTTTTTGAGATAATTTAACACCTTAATGTTGACGTTTACATTATTGAGAACGTAAATTTAACAAAATATATGGTTTTGATATAGTAAAGTAACTATTATCCAAAGTTATATTTTAATTTATTGCCTCTTAAATTTAAATATTTCAAAAATGTCATCCAAACTGCTTAAATTATTTTCAGATTTTTATTGAGTACCAAAACATAAATCTGTTTAATATTTCAAATTCAACGGAGATAATTCGTATTAAAAACTCGTCGTTGGGTAATAATTTAACGATGAGTGAAGATAGCTAACTATACACTGACGTTGTAAAATTATTATTATACAAATATTTTATAACATTATGTACTTATTAAATTAAACCAACTTTATATTCCAAAAGCTTAATTTCAAATCACTTTTTCCACTGTAAAAGTATATATAAACATTATAAAAACTTTATTTAAAATAAATGTTTTTACAATACGTATCACGTTACCAGGTTAGTAACTTGTTAAATATTTGATTTTAAACAATCGAATTTAACACAGTAGAGTATTTGTATTCATATATATAATATAACAAATAATGTTAACAAATAGATCACAATAGTGTTGCTTAAATTTCAGATAAATTATGTTTGTCGCAGGTATCATGGATCCGGAAACGAGACCTCCACATATTGACGGTCGGAGTTCACACATACAGCAGCGATGCACGCTTCGCCGCCTTACACACCGACGGCTCAGATGAATGGACGCTGCGGGTGGCACACGCACAACCACGGGACTCCGGTGCTTATGAGTGCCAAGTATCCACTGAACCGAAGATCAGTTTATCATTTTGGCTCAGCGTTGTTGGTGAGTGTATAAAACTTCATGTCGATAAATACACGCGATTGTTTATTGGTTAATCTATAAACTTTTATTTTTATATAAAAAAATTGTGAATACGTCATCACAGAATCACATTTCAGAGTACGGTTAATAATTTCACATATCACTGAACTTCAGCAATAACTTTTGTAATAAAAATAAAATCGAACTTTTGACTATGGATGAATAATCGAATAGACATATAAATAACTGGCAAAATGGGACTTAGATATTATTTTTGGATTATCCTAAACATCAAATATAAGGTTTGCAACATTATGTACTACGAAAATGTAGTAAAAGTATATAGCTATATAAAGCCTAGTGTGTGAACACGCTGCCTTTATTACCCCTAAACCAAACGAACATAGCCTCCAAAATATATAAGGTTGGCTAAGGCACATTTAGTCTTATATATACTGTCACAGGCTAGTGCAACGATGCGTTTTATGTGACGTTAGTACATAAGGTTAGAACTTTGAACATAAAATCTGAAGGCTCATACCACGTGATTTAAATATCTTATACTATAATTTTAATATACCACTGCCACGATTCAAGTTATCAAATTATTGCAGTATCTTTATAGCTATTTGAATGTTTAAGTGATGTCATCATTCAATAAACGTATAAAAAAGGCTATAAAACTGTATGATTTGAATTATGTTTCTCGTTTAATACAATTAATTATATATTTAATTTGAATTCTTTTCTCGTTTCTAATATTGTTTCATATGGTGTTTAAAAATGTTCATCTTATTGATTGAGGATCAAATTTGTAAATATGTAGTACAATTTGATTATATGCCAATATTGAAAAATTAAAGCTAAAAATATTTACGTTATAAAATTCGAAATAAAATCATAATTTCTATTTTGTTATGTAATGAATAAATCTTCATACACAGAGATATTAGTACCTTGTGAAAGTCAACCTAAAAATTTTAGAACATCTAGTTAATAAACGAAGCCTTTGTGAAGAGTTAATCTCATCAACATGACATGCAACATGGTCGTCACGGCTTAGGACTTATGTGCGGTTTCTAGCTTTTGCCTGGAACTTTTTGTCATGGGCAGCTAAATATAAGTAAAAATTTATATTTCATAATTAAACTCATATTGACTTAGATATTTTATTGAATAGCTTAAAATATGCTAGTTATTTTTTGTTTATTGAATGAATTTCTTAACAATTTACTTATATAAGTAATTGAAGAAAATAATTAAATATTTTTAAGCTAATATTTAAGACACATTGTTTTAATGCATTATATCTAAAACTTCAAACTATTTGCCATATTATTATAAGAAACCGTATTTTTTCTTTTGAGCGAAACTTTGTTTTATGATGATGAATTTATCTGTTTTAGTATCAAAAGCCGAAATTCTTTCTGGACCTGAGCTATTCGTTCGTGCTGGATCGGATATAAACCTCACTTGTATAGCCAGACATGCTCCCGATCCTCCTAGGTAACTACGAAATCAAAAAAATTCATGACTTCTTTTATATGTTATTATAATAATTTAAATCGATGTCCTCCAGTAAGCGACAATGGTTTTAAATCATAATAAATATGTTTAAAAAATCACACGACACTTACAATACATTCACGAATTGTTTTAATTTTTAATTTCCAGCACTTTATCAAAGTGGTACCCAGATGGGTGCATTTTTGATGAAAGCGTGCAACATATTAATACGTGAAGCTATATGCACCCGAGGGCGGCTTGTTATTCAGAGTACAAGCATTCATACAGCTATTACAGCGCACATTTCATCAGCGCTTTCCTAAAGCATTTCATTTTGCTGTACTTTCGAGATATTACTCATGCGTTTTATTTAACATTAAATTCAAAACCATTACATTAAACCTATTTTGAATTCAAAAGTTTGTGTGTGTGTTTAATGCTACGTTACCATATTAAAAACCTTTGTACTTATTTTATCTACACATCGTTTCTCTATCGCTTCAGTGTCATGTATTTTAAGAAATTAAGGGTATCTTTTAATATTCATTCCTTATTAGTTTTATCTATTGGTATCGGGGTGCCAACGTGGTGAACTACGCACAGCGTGGTGGAATCAGCGTAGAAACAGAGCAACGCACTCGCACTAGTCGCTTGCTCATAGCGCGAGCTTCTCCCAGGGATTCTGGCAATTATACCTGTGCTCCAAGCAGTTCTGGTAAATATTAATAATAATTACCATATTTATTTATTCATATTTTATTTATATCAATTGTAAAGCACTAACCATATTTGTTATATTAAAATAATAACGATTCTTACCTACTTTAAAACAATGATTTTAATTAACGTAACTTTTAATTATTATCTTTTGATACTTAATTAATTTGTAATATGTATTGTAATCAGCAAAAAACAAATTAATAAATCATATATTATTACTATTCACTTACGTGAATTAAAGTACGATAGGTCACGCCATAATGTTAAAATATAAAATATAATAAGCCATATTAAAAGGATATTCTACATAATTTTAATATTTAAAATGAATTTGTGTCTCCTTATCAGATTCAGCGTCCGTGGTCGTCCACGTAGTTAGTGGCGAGCGACCAGCAGCAATGCAAAGCAGCTCCCAGAGAATTATACCAGCTCATGTCACTTTAATTCTATTTTCTTATATATTTAACAAACAATTTGTCTTCGATATCACACAGAACATTTTGATTTCAGTATATCTTATTGACTGTCTAACGTCGAAAATAATATACATTCTTGAGTCTAGATGACCTAAATAATCACATTTAGTATACGCATGAAATGCATAATAATAAATTATAAGAAATAAAGAAACGAATTATTAATAATACATGCGTCTATTCCACCGTCTATCATTAATATATAAAAATATGCTACCATACAATAGTATATTTAATTAACATTTCATTGTATACTTGTTGCTCATTCTAATTAATCGAATATAAATTTTTGATGAATGATGGTAAATAGTTTAAATTGAATTTTGTATATGTGGTTGGTATTTAGTTACATAAATCCAAGTAAATAAATATGATGATATAATATAAACAAGTTTTATCGTAAGCATGAAATATTCTATGTATTTCCATTACAAGCAAAATAACATTAACATATTGAATAATTGATGATGCTTGTAAAAAATATGGTCATGTTTGCGAAGAAAGGAAATTAGTACCGAATAAATATTAATAGAATACGTTAAATATTTAAATTGACTCCATACACTTTATACATCGATTTTTCATTAATTTTTTAAATACTTCATCAACTTTTAATTTTTATAACGAAAATGGCTTACTTTTAGAAATTCAAATGACATTCTTGATTAGAAGTATAATTTAAAATCATAACTCAAAATTAATAGGACGTTAGTTACTTAAGATAAAAATTAAAATAAATATCAATTGAATCCACTACTCGTAGATAAATAAAATTCATACGATGTAAACTTTAAGAAGGAGCAAATGTAAATATGTGTTTTACAATTTATTACATATTTAAAAAATATATGTATTATAGGAAATCCTATAATTAGGACTGGGTTAAGTAAAATACATCAAAGTTAATTGGTAATATCAATATTCAATATTCATGAAAAATTAAGTAGGTAGTGTTCATTATTGATGGAATATAATTTAATATTATGTTCGTCTAAAAATGATCATAACTCAACACTTGTGAATACGACATTTAATTTGTCTTGTTATTTATATGATTAAAATAGTAGGTTTCGATGCAAATTGTCCGGTCAATGAACTCCTTGTAGGAAATTTGTTTTCAGAATAAGCATATATGTTGGATTCTTTTAAAGACAATACGTACGTAATTAACTTTTACTGTAAATTTCTCTTTTGTAATTAATGAAATAGTGCTTAGATAGAGTACGATCTAATATTTTAAGACCTATTACACAGCTGCATAAATTACTATACCAATTATTATAACCGTAAGTTATATTAATTATCTTTAAACCTGTGAAAAAATTTTGTAAATAAAGAATATGGTTTATGTGTTATTATGAGTGTTTTATTTTTAAACATTTTTGAATATGTATTATTGTTACCTACATTAAATCAATTACGAAACTTCTAAGTTAGGCAAAAGAAAACATCCCTTTTTCGTTCATTTAATTCAAAGGTTACAGCAACCTTATTTTTAAGACTTGCTTTATCGTTTAAAGTAAAATATGGCAATGAAAATATACAACCAGATTCGCAGCGCCAGTGGAGATTTAATCTGGAGGCTGTGGGGACGGCCTATATTGTCACCAACCGGTACGATTGAACCATCCTAGGATTATGCACAGTTGGCGGTTCGCCGTTTGAGGGTGGCTAGTCCTCCAATTTTGCTCCCTAGTGACTACAAAAGGTTAGAAGGGCCCCTTCATTGAATCACGCTACGTTAAGACAATTTCGATCTGATGTATGGATTGGTGATGTGGTTTTGTTTGATAGATGCTGGCTGTCGATAGTATTAAGAAATAAACGCTTTAACAAACAAAGTTTTAGTCATCGTTACGTCAAATAAAAAAAAACCAAACATTTTTTTACTTATGATAAATACATTCTTCAAAGCCTCGTGGTAAAACTTTGTCCCACTGAATTAGAAATCGTTAAAGCAAGACAATTAATTGACATGAATACTTTCTGTTGAGCACGTTTATTTACGGTTAAAGATATGAAACCATCTTTTCCTGGGGAATTCCCATTGGTAATAACAATAATCAATTAATAATAGGTAAAGAGTTTTAACGTTTTAATGAACATTTTCAAACATAAAACATTTTTGAATATAACACCTATATACATTTTATTACAAAAAAAAAAAAAACATTTTTTTGATAAAAAGTCTACAGGAGTGGACTATATTTCAATATTTTCTTCAAATCGTGCTATTTATTTGCTAATACCAGGGACTGTTTCGCTTGAACGCATCAGAATAATACCAATACCGAGTCAGAAATAGACTGTCGCTATTCTCTAAAATATTACTATCCTTTTATACTTTTCTTTAATACTTAGTCATCGGGATACAAAACATAGTTTTATTTATTCTATTTTGGTGTTTACCCTTCTTAAATTGCATATGTAAGTTGGTATCGACGTATCGCTGACTAGTTGGACTAAAATCAAACGCAGCTGTACCAATTTACGTTAATTACTGATGTCCAGTTAGGAATCAACACTAATGCACATTCAGCAAACGTTACTAAACACACTTACCAATTTAGTTATGAGTAAGACTGTAGGTTGCATTGTGAATGTTAACAGAATATATGTTTGTGTTTGTAATTTATGAAATCATTTTGATAAATATTGATTATTTTAGTAGTTCTTTCATTAGATTCTAATTTTCTTTTGAAAGTTAAATGCCTACATATAAAAAATACAATTTCTTTCAACAATAAGTTATAATAAGTTCTGTAAAAATTTAAAAAACTTTGTTGATTTAATAATAAATTATACAATATTTCTATTTTAAATATTGTTATTATTAAAATACCTCATAGTATTATTGGCTGTACGATGCAAAACTTTCATCCCTCTCGCCCCGATAGTCCCATGATAAAGAAAATATATTAAAGTTACCTTTTTTTTTTGTAAAATGATAAAATCGTTTTGAATTTTAGATCACTTGCAGATATCTCTCATTGTTTTTATTATATGTATATCTATTCTCTAATAATTACAAATTTAAATGTACACCTTAGCTATATATATGTACATTTTATATTAGAAAATCGAAAAGTTGGCTGAGTTTTCTGTATATATGTCTCTCAATACATCCACTGACTGTTATGATTTCATAACGTCTTACAGATATTGACATCAGAAAGTACTTTATTTTTATATTGGAAAAATGATTTATTTGCACATTATAGAGGTAAATTGAAGGGTTACCTGTTTCTTGACAAAGTTACTAAAGATAAAAAGTTATATACGTCATCCCGAAAGAATAAAATATACTAATAATTTTCTTACATTTTATTTGAATTAGAGTAGAATTATTATTTAAGATTTTTCTTTTTTTCACACCCTTAATAATCATCAAATTTTACATTTGGACAAAGAAAAGATTACAATTAAATTAAGATGAATTTGTATAGGAATAAATTAGACTTGTTTGTATGATTAAGAAAATTTTGAGTAGAAATAATAGTAAAAACTTTGTTTGCTTAAGTTTATGTCGATATAACCTTGTTTTTCTGAGTAGAGGAGAAAGAATATTTAAGTGGATAGCTGCGGCTGGAAGATAGCGGTTTGAAAATAATTTAAAATTTTTCTTTAAGGGCTATTCATAGAAGTATTACTATCAAATTATGAAAAATGTTAAATTTGTAATGAACATTTTGTTCTTCATATGCTCAAATAACACGCATAAATATTAGGGGGGAAAAATATTTCAAGTTTGTTAAAAATAATCTTATAAAATCAAATTATTTTGAATAATAGAGTGTGTGCTAAATGATTTTGCATTGATAATAATTCTCTCTCTTTTGTAAAAAACCTACAACGATAAAAAATATAAATAATATAACTCTTTATTTAAATATGGCAAGATATATCACGTTTATTTAAATAAATATTAAGTATTATAATTAATTTTATACCAAACAACTTTAACAAATAAGCATCAGGAAAATTTTACAATGAATAGCGTTGTCATCGTTATTTTGTATAAATCAGTGAACAAAATCAACTCAGACGCTCTTATAATAACATTTTATATTCATCGAAAACACCTCTCTACACTTTTATATCATCTTGTGTTCCCTGTCAGTCAAATATTTATAAAGCAATAATAAATAAGTGTCAGTTTACCGTAACAAGCATAGAAATACGAAATGCAATATCTATTAATTTCTTTCTATGTGGATGAATAAACCAATAAATATAGTTAAAAAGCATAAGTGTTAAAAAATGTCCTTTACTATAAGTTAAGTTATACATACATTATGACGACTAAGAACCTACATCTAAATATTGATATCATTTTTATTTTACCTGGTATCTGGTAGTAACTAAAACATAAATCATAGGACGTGGAATCCTTTTACAAAATGGGACGGTCGACCCTCCTATTTGTCACCTTCCTTTTATCATCTCTTTAGAATTGCACGTAATATTTTACTCTCACCCACTCAACGAGATTATACACTGATAATATTCAATGTAAAATTTGTCTTTGCATTCAATATGGTGACATGGTAATTATATTAACTTATAATATAAAATATCGCGAAATATTTAAAAATTTTACATGATAATAATTCACTAGACGTAATAAATTTTCGGAATTTATGAATATTACTCAGCCTTTTGTTTGTATTCTTGAATTTAACCTTTTGTACACTACAATACACTTTTATTTATATCCATACGTAGCTCAGGAAAGTAGGTTTTTGTTTTGTAATATTCTATGTCAAGCAGCTATGAGCATTCTTTCCGGATGAGGGGGTCGAAAGTTTGACGTTGTTCACACTATTCTAACAAAGCTGGCATGAAGGATATTAATAGAAAAGGAATAAAGAGAGGTATTTCTAAAGAAATATTTTGAAAACCTTTCTAACCTATATAACGTGTTACACTTAAGTCTATTTAATTTAACAAATGTAATAATTTTGACATACATATAATGGATCTATCTACGGAACGTTACCTCATATAAGCGTTTAGGACAAAGTAAGGTTAACTATAAAGACAAAGGCTCTATTTTCCTGGAATGCCATAAATGCGGCAAGGTTAAATGT